TTTGTATATAATTATTTCTTTAATTTCTCTGAACAAATTATTCTTCAGTACATCAGAAGTTTGATCACCTCCTTGAAACGGGATATCTGGATTTCTTGTTTTGACTCTCCCTCGAATTTTGATCTACGAAAAGACTAGGATAACCGTTTTTAGTTAATATTTCATTGAGGAAACGAAGTTTTTCCTGAAAGCATTCGATACTATACATCCGAAATAGATGGCAAAAAAGAAAGTGCATAAGATTCCAGCTATAGAATTCGGTTAATTAGCCATCCCATATTTGTTTTCGATAAATGGACCTCTTTAAGGATCCATGACTCTTCCTTGTAAAGCACGCCGAAACATAGGGAAGAATAGCAGGTAGGTAATGAATTAATGAAAAGTGTAGAATAAGTCAAAATTCTAGTAGCCCATAATGTAAGTGTCTTCCACTATATTCTCTATTACGTTGCAACCAGAGTAATGTGCTTGACCTAATGCTACTTCACTTTCAGTTTGTCTGATGGCTTTGCTAATTTATTCCACCGATGATTAGATGTCGTCCACATGGATGTCTCTATATTTCTCTTTCGTTTCTTGTGGGTTCAGCGATGCTCACGTGTTCTAGAGCTATGCAAAATTACCTTGCCACCAGTTCTGCTGCTCTTGACTGATCTCTCTGGTTCGCTATATTTATCTGCAAGTTTCTCAGTTGCATCACATAATTCTGTTATGTTTCCTTCTCTTATAGCTTCTTCTGTTGTAGTTGCTAAGTTTATCGCTTATTTCTGCTTGTCAGTTCTAATGCTGCTCGTTACTTGTTTGTTTATTTCCGTATATTCGGCCTGTAGCTTTACTTTCTCTGTATATATTCGATTGTTGTGGACTACTTTCTTAACACTTTTCCTTCCTTAGATCCCATCCAGGCTGTCTACAAAAATGGATTGTCTTATCTGATGCTTCTTGGGACCTATATCTCATGGTATGCTGAAGTCATTGTTCCCTCATACTCTTTCCAGTTATTTTTTACTATGGTTTCCTCTCATTATAGTAGATCTTGTAAGATTTGGAGCTTGTTTTTGTGACCTATCTTCAGTTTGCCAATTTTGTTATCGTTTCAAAAGAACGTTGTATTAATTTTTTGTAATGCTACTTAATCAGTTATCTAATTCTTCTTTAGTGGTACACGGTCTGACTTCGATGTGTATGAACTAATGAATGCTCCATGAAGATAAAGCCTCCTTTTGATTTCTCTTATCACGCCTAGACTAACCCTGTCAGTGTGACGGCTATAAAAAGAATCGAAATATTAATTAAATTAGGTGGATTTATTTCAGAGATTAAAATTGAACTGCTGGAAAGTGAGCGAAGAGAACAGGAAAATGTAAGAGTGCCAACTGTATTTGATAAAGCGCGACTTTCTATATACAGTCGGACAAAAACAAGCCAAATCATGCGATGAGTAGAGTATTTGGTACATACACACTCTTAAATATAAACATCAGAGGTTATACACGACTAATTAACAAGGTCAAAATATTTTTGGATAATAACTTGAGCAAAATACATAAATTGATTTGTCCGCAAACTAGAACAACCCTTGTGAGCGTAACATGGTACCGGATACTAAACTTTAATAGCTTCAGCTTTAGCTTGAACACTAGCAGTTGATAATCTGAAGCTATAGCAGCTCCTCTCATTGCCCTTACATCTTCCACAGACCTAAATAATTTATTGATGCAGATGTAGTCGATCTGGTTCTCCGTGGTGTAGCCTATGTAAATTTGTGTATACGTTTGCGAAATTAGATGCTTCCACTTCCAATCATGTTACTGTAAGCTGACTCTAAACGTTTTTCCTTCATCCGTGCATTGAACCGGCAATAATTGTAGAAGGGCTTCAGGAGGATTTGACTTACATTCGTAAAATATCGAATATGGTGTTTTTAGTTATCAAAACTCATTTCACCTCTTAGAACAAATTCTTTTCTTGCTACACTGATTGAATTTGTAAGTGGAAATATTTTTTTCGGCGTTACACAACTGAATCAATAACTGTTGTCGGTAGAACATACCCCAATGTATGATTGAACATTTCTATATCATTATGAGCTATACAATAATACTAAATTTCTTAGTTTAAAGCCCATAATGAAAAGCTAACTGTTTGAATACAACTGATGATTAGTATTTGTGAGGAGATGGTAGATAAACAGATTTTATAATCTACAACTAGTAGTATCATATATATATATATATATATATATATATATATATATATATATATATATATCCTAGACATTACTCATATTCGTTGTTTACTTTATCATTATATTCGAATTACTTGGAATAATATCAGAAAGGGTTTTGTGGATACTACAGTAATTTCAATGGTTGAGATCATGAGTAAATTGAAGCTAGACCAAGATGAAGAACCTAGAAGCACTGGATAGCCGTTTCCTCCTATTGTGGGACTCTTCAGCAGTGCACATAAAATACAAAACTTTTCATCCCAGGAGAATATCTGTTTGCAAAATTAGCTAATTTTGCCTTAAGTTATTTCAATTGGGGTAAACATTATTGTTGTTTAATAACCAAATATTTTGTTTACTATTATTCAATTAATGTGATTCTCTCATTATCAGATTACTTATACTCAGAGTAGTTCACTGAACGAGATGACGACAATAACGAGAACGCGTATGACAACAAACTTTATGATATTTGCAATGTTGCGCAACCGACACATGAAACTGCGAACAGAAATGCCTGGATTTTTTGTTCATGCTAAATAATGCTTCATTTATTTTGCGCTTACGACCCATCACCACTTGTCCATGGAATCCACTGTCCCATGTGCGGCGCTATAACGGAATCATAGCAACGCCTTTGTTGATGAAATTCGGAACTGTCAAGAGAACGAGTAAAAGCCTTTTTCAGGGCCACCCACAATTTAAGATAAATTATTTTGTCTCAATTCCTTATTTCCATGGCAAAGGTCAAGTGATGAAACCATCACAATTCATTTAAGATTAATAATCATTATGTCATTATCGCCCACGTATATGTAAACGCTTTTTAAGCCTTATCTGAAGTATTTTGCACGGACAGCTGTTAATAAACACTTGTATCTTGTGGATGATTGTTTTGGTAGTTTTCCAAGTTGCCACCGCATTCAGTAGAACTGTTTTGACATTGGTATTGAAAATCCTGACTTTGTTATTGGTCGAGAGTTGTTTTGGTTTCCAGATGTTCTTCAATTGTAGATATGCTGGTCTTGCTATGACGATTATTATTATTATTATTATTATTATTATTATTATTATTATTATTATTATTATCAGCTTTATTCAGTATTATATTTTTGGTACAATATAGAATTTTCAGTGTTAAGTATTTCAACAAGTTTCCGTTTCTTTCTTCTTGGTCGGTCCTGGCGATAAATGTTGAGTGATCGCCAGTTAGATGTTAGCAGTTCAGTAAATGAACATCTGAATAATGTGCATTCTTTTCGCTGTATATTGCCAGCAACCACATTGTCTCTTATTGATTTTTTTGTAACTTTGACAACGAAAGGTTGTACACATTTCAGAAACGCGGCAGAATAGATTATGCGATTATTAAACATAATGGTGTATTAAAACAAACAAAAACAGAAAACTTATTGAAATCTCTAGATGGCAGGAACAGGTAACCCAGATGCTCAAGCAGGCCGCCCTTCACATCTGCATCAGATCCACTGTGCTCTTCAATGATGCTACCCAGATATGCAGATCAACATGATATCAAGATAGTTTTAAGTAGAATATGATGCCTTAAATTAATTAAAGGATATGATAATTTTGAATACTTTTACCATACCGAAACCTTTCTATTTGTTGAAAATAATTGGTTGGAGTTAGACATTAACACTGTTGGATGCCGGCTCAGTGATCTAATGGTTAAGTGCTGGCGCACGAAGCCAGTAGGTCCTGGGTTCGGACCCCGAGTGGTGCCGGGTCGTGGATGCGCACTGCTGGGGAGTCCCATACTAGAACGAAACGGCCGTCCAGTGCTTCCAGGTTTTCAATGGTGGTCTAGCTTCAACTGACTCATGATTTCTATTTGTTGAAAATAATTATATCAATCTTATTTCACATATAAAATGTACAAAATATTGAAGTCTTGAGAAGTTAATCAGAAACCTATTGATTGTTTATTCAGTTACAAATGATTAATGAGTTAAGAATAAACCTTGAAAGATTCATGTGACCAACTAGAGTGAATCTTTTTCACAATAAGATTATCCCATTTTATACAGATAAATACATTCATAATGACTATCATTCATTCATTCAGTATTACTGATTGTTCATCTAATTTGATTCGCTTTGAAGCTTCAAAGAGGATGTAAAACTGAATTTTGATTAAGAAATTTACTATTATTCAAAAAATAAATAAAACAGTAGTAGATTGTTGGTTCTAACTGAGTGATGAACCCTTAGAATGTTTTGTTTTCTTCTTCTTTGTTTCTTTCCTTCTTTCTTTCTTTCTTTCTTTCTTTGAACTCAAATTGTAAATGTAAATTTCATGGATTCATAATGTAGATAGGTCAACAAACACAAACTACTTACTATTAATTTCCTAAAAGTAGTTTCTTCTTTTTTAAAGAAAAAAAAAGAGGTACCAAAATTGTATAATAATTTGAATAAAGGACATATCACATTCAATTATTAAAAGGTTATATTTATTAAAATTAAACAAAAAAAAAGTAATTTGAAACCGATATTCATTTAATCAGTTATTCATTGATTAATGAACATGTAATTTTAGTATATAAACAAGATGATGAATTCATGAAATTCATCACATCCATCTAGTAGTATTCTATTGAGTTCAATGTGTTCAATGAGAATGATATATTCTTTAAGATATATCTTAGTGTTTCTATGCTTTATTTGCTTATTGGATTTTGTTAGAAATGAACATATTTGTCAACTTATGCCAAACATCACTATGGTAAGTATGAATATGTTTAAGAGAATGTCTGTTCAGAATTCCGGTGTCCTAGGTGAACCGATTGATAAACGTCAATATGGAGGTAATGGACTGAAGTTTGTTGTGATATATACAGAAAGTATTCGAAGTCATCGATTATTTAGTGAATTCAAGGTGAGAGTGTTTACTGTTGTTTACTTCTTCTTTCATTTATCAATTATTTTGTTGAATGAACCACGTGAATCACTTTTTGTGTCATCATTGTGGGGATATGTTGTTAATGCATTCAATAATGTGTCGATCAATCTCCTAGTTTAAGCATATAAATTCTTGCTAGTAGTATTCTCGTTATTGGATTTGAATCAACGATGAATAACATTGATCGTGTTTGAAATCGCATTTCATTGTAGACTTGTCTGGATCTTTCTGTGTGAACACTGATGTTAAGATAGTTGGAGAAATGTCTGGAAACAATTGGACGAATGAATACCATAATAATAGTCTATAAAATATTAATGGGAATATTAAGAGAGTTTCCATAGTTCTGTATAAATTGATTATGTTGACTATATATTTTAGGTGTATCATCATATTGATGTTATATTGTGTTTCATAACATTTTGTCATTATTGGTATTCTGGTTGTGCTATTTTACCAATGCGCTTAACAGAATTAGTATAATCAAGTGTATTATTAATTACATTCGAGCACTGATTTGAATTTAATCAAAGTTTTGTAGAAAATTCATCGACTTCGTAAGTATTAACACACATAATTTCACTATAATATCCATCTATTAAAGTGAATAATTTGAATGGTAATAGGTATTTCTTCAGAGCTAACTCTCTATTCCTGGATAATCGTCAACTACTCTCTATCATCAACTATATTGTGAAAGGACAAAACTGTTATTATTTATTCTACTTACATCATGTGAAGATGGATACGGGAATCTTTGAATTGCTCAATTTTATAAGAAATCGGTTTTACATAATTAAAACATTCAAAGTATTATAACTTATTTTGATTTTTTATATTAGAAGGAAGTAATAGATGTAGCTTTTCGATTCTGGGAGAGGGCATTGAGTGTAAGAAGACCACCAAACAGAAAGCTGCTTGCAGAAAGGTTAGTATATAATTATTAGTACAATTCTAACTGTTTAAGGACAAATTTCGCAATTGTAATCGTTCAGATCATGAGTTAGTCCACCAAGGAAAACTTAGAAGCACTGGAAGTTTGTATGTGTTTGAATCTTGTGAGGCGGGATCGCGGATGCGCACTGCTAAAGAGTCTCACAATGTGACTAAATGGACGTCCACAAAGGTCCCTTCTCATATTGATATTTTGAGGAATTTTACAATTGTTTTTTTCTAATTGAAACCGATCTTATTACTATGAGATAGTGATTATCAATTTAATAATAGAAAATACCTCGTTCAGATTTCATTTTAATGAACTGCATAATAATCAATACTTCAAACAAGAATCTAATTCTCATATTCCGTATCATGTTGGAATGATGTCCACAAGATTGCCATGGAGTTTTTCTTCTCATTTCTTCTCATCTCACCATAAACCATTTCAGTATGTTGATTGATTATTAACTATTGTATATTTGATATTATTCTTTCAGAGGATGTGTTGAGAAAACATTCTTCAAAGATTTAACAACGGGTAGAATATTTTGTAGATCACAATGCAACCCACACGCTAAATGCTATGACCATCCAATTCCAGATGAATATGCCTCCGTAAGTTTTAGTCACAAATATTTCAATTAGTAGGCATCAGAATAATCAAGTTAATGTCATAACAATGATATATTTGTAATCGAGATGTAAGTACCCAATGACTAATGAGTACACATACGGCATCATGTTTTACAATGTTGATATAAAACTAATAAAGTTTTATCAATAGATTGTTTAGAATTAAATCTTTGAATAAATTATACACTTTCTTGTAACACCTTTGTCATATGAACCAAACTGAGAATAAGACAATAGGACTGCTCAGCATTGTGCATTCACGATCCCGTGAGCGGGATTCAAACGCATGGCTTAATCTCTAGATAATTGAGTCAGCATCCAATGGTGTTAATGTTCAACCTCAACCAATTCAGGAAATTGCGTGACCACCTTCTATGATAATGAGGTAGATACCTGTCTCTACCTGACATGGATTAGCTTCACTGGTAACGGCTTCACACTAGAACTCTGAGAATTCCCTCATGAAGTTAGTCACTAGTGAATAAGCACACTACTGATTCTATTGTCGTTCTTTTGTACAGTTGAAATATATGAGTGTATATAATTACGATAATTAGAATTGTATTATGCATTTAAAATGTCAGACAATTGTAAAGTTGACATTCATCACGGGTAGTTTAATACAAAATTCACTGTTCTTTCAAACTTAAGTATTTTAATTAAATCGCACACCAATTAGATCGTATAAATGATTATTATTGAAGAATTGCTGTTGAAATGTCGGCTATCCTCGTGTGTAATTATCGACTTAACCCGCGTTAGTCAATAATAGAATTAAATAAGCCATATACAAGAATCGATTTGGAATATGTTCATTTCATGAACTCATTGGTTTGAACAGGCATTCAGGGAGACGAAACAAAGAGGGAAGAGTGAAGCACATTAGAAAAAGTAAGTGAGCCAACCTAATTTAGTAAAGCGTAGATCAATATTTATATTCGAACAAAAATAAGCTACAGACATGTGATGAGTAAGATAGGAAATGCACACAAATACGCCTACATAAAAACAATCAAGATTGATAAGTGAATAATTCACAAGGTCAAAATGTGACTCAAGAAAGATGAATAAATTGGCTTATCCGGGAGCTAGAATGAGCTATCTGGGCTTTGCTTAGCAACTGACACTGCAGTTCCATCCACCAAGCTAATCACTATGAGAAGTATAGTTACCTTGAACTATAATGGCAAGATGTATTCCTGGATGTAAGTGATTTCCTCAGATTATCGCTCAGTGAGTTTATGTGGTTTGTAATATTTGATTGAGCTGATGTCTTTTACCATTGATCATCAACTATAATTTCGTAAGCTCTTTCATCAACTACAATGTAATCCAGTGACTTTGAATCGTGTGACTATCTGGCATTTCACCTGCCATTTGTTTATTGTCGTTACGGAATCATCAAAACTGTGATTTTAACTGACTACGTATATACTGAAACTAGAAGTTGAATCAACACGAACATGAGAAAAATTAATACTGAAACTAAACGTAACATCATATGTGGACTGTAAGTGTGAAACAGAACTACCTGAAGTAGTGATAGTATTATGTTTAACTGAGTGAAGCACTAGACAGTAGTGCAGGAAACAGTGTACTTATATTTATATACGTTTTAATAACCAGTATTTTTCTCTCAATTTTAATGAATAGGGATGCTCTGTAGGATCTAGTGTTGGATCTCTCAGAGAAGTTTATCGAGATGGTCCAGGATTTGCACCAAATCAATATGTTGTTTTTGTTTCAAGTGTGAATGAACATGGTTGCTTATCAGGTAGAACATTGGCTTATGCTGGTGCATGTGAAACGCACCCTACAACTGACAGGTTAGTAATTATTTATTTGATTGGATCATAAGATTAGAAAACAATTAATTCGTTTAAATGTTGACATTAAATTTTTATTTGTAAAGTGAGCGAACACTTTACTATTGTATATGTCCACATAATGGATGAGAGTAAAAGGTTTTAACAGCGTCAATGAAAACTGTTCCTTTCTTCTTTACTTAAATTCTCAATAATTCTGAATGTATATGCTAACAAATAGGGTTCGGATCATTGAAGTTTACAGTGGAAAATCTATAAGATAAGAGGAATTAGTCAACTTTTTTTATTAGAAACATAATATTATTGAACCAAATTGATAAGAACAATGTACTACCACAAGATCTGTCTACATAAGCGACATGTTATGGTAACATATTGTATTTAAGTTCCATATGTATTTTAACTCCAGACCAATTATGGGAATGATCAACTTCTGTCCAGGAAAGATGGAAATAGAAGAACCAGGAAGAACTATGATGCTTGGTACAGCTATTCATGAAATGGCTCATGCTTTGGTAAGTGTTTATATTTAAACGAAAGCTGCTTTGTGAAACTTACATTATATCGAAAATAGGTTAATAATAAATTTCATTTCGAAAATGTTAGATCATTTCTAGTTGATAGCCGAGAGTGGGGAGAGTCAGCTCTCTCTCTCCCTCTCGAAATACTATCACTTGACCTACTACCGTGCATACAACCACTACTAAACAAGTACTAATCACTGCCTTCTCGTGGTGGGAGTGCTGATTACAAAATTGAGATTACGGAAAGCGAATTTTCGGCGCATTAACAGGGTTGGTGAACATAGAGAGTCCATATAGTGTAGTTGGATACCCTGATTTTATTAGGATGTTCAGAAAAATATACCAATAATTATCGTGTTAAGTCTAATGATGGCCTTGGACTTTAAATGTACACTCCTTATTGGTCGATATTTATTTCACTTGTTAAATATTGTGTAAATGTTGTTTTCTATTTTATGGTACGATGTGGTTTGTTTGGTTGGTATATAAACAGAGTATGTCTGAAATATAATGATTCATATCTCAGAGGCTGAGACTTGTGTACTGGACTCAACTGGCTGGTCTAGACAGCGAAGCAGGGCCAATCGGGATTCTAGGGCGTCCATTACGTGTTTACGTGTCACAGAAGCGATCGATAAATACGCTGCGCATCTAACCTGCAATCCACACGTTACAACAGATTCCAAACGAATAGTGCACATGTATTCCAGGATCCTGAGAGGATGAATGGCGTGTGAACTAATCGTTGATCATCGACTACCAAGAGACCGCCGTTGCTCCACTGCCATGTGGATCGGACATTCGGGTCAAATGCTCCGAATACTGCCTCCTAATAAAACCACCTGTTTCGGTTTCGTCACCCGAGCAGTATCCCAGCCCTCACACAAATCAAATGAGATTTATGTGACGCATATCTGTTTGGTGCCTCTTTATACTAATGTTTATGTGTTTCCACAAATAATAATAATAATTTACTATTTGATTAAAGTAATTTACTTTGTCGCATCCTGTACACTGTCTTAATAGAATTTTGATTCTATCGTTCACCAACCTATGATTTCAATACTAATTGTCATTTTTTCTTGTAAATCGCATGATTGTTTTAATGAGTATCATGAGGCTCTTTGAACTTACTTACTTACTTACTCCTGTTACTACCAATGAAGAGAAGGCCACCGACCAGCATTCTCCAACCCACTCTGTCCTGGGCAGTGCATTATATAATGACTTGTAACATAAAACTTGAAAGATCAGCATGTTAAACCTCCTATTCTTACTTTTAATATAATTTTACTGAAATTAAACTATTGAACATTTTAGGGATTCTCTAAGTCAAATTTCCCTTTGATGCGTGATCTAAACGGCAGACCATTAACACCAAGAGATCCCAAAACAGGTAAACCACCACTGAATCCTCAAAGGCAGTATGTTACAAGGTGACTTATTGTTTTGTGATTACAGTTTTATCCTAACTCTTTTCAAAGTTCTTTATTAGTTTCTAGTTTCGTCTAGTATGTTATTTATAATAATCAAGTGGACCAAACTTTGCTTCATTCAACTATTAGATGACATATTCTTTTAAACGATAAGTATAGTCAACAAATCAACTGGTTGTTCATGTTTTATCACCTAAATCTACAAACGATTATTGATTCGAAAAATTCATTAGTTGAATCACTAAGATCTGTTCTAAGTAAGTCAGTCAATCGGCTACAACTTAGGACAAGGCACATATATACATCGGTCCAAGTTGTCATACCTCATTAGCACAACAAGATGAGCAAGGATCCTGTGGAGATTAATATGGATCAAAAATCTGAGTATATGCTTTTACCACTACAGATTCATGTATTTTCGCCTACTTAAGAAAGATGCTTTAATTGAAGAGATGAATGAAATAAGTTTAAAGTAATTAAACTCAGTTAAATAGGAGAATATTATAAGGAACCAAGTACTAATATCAAGTCTCTAATATACAGACTATAGTTCCTCTATTTGAAGTGAGTTAGCGAATATACAACCGTTATGTTATTGTGAAGACGAAATACACATGTTGGAAGTAGAGAAGTTCGAATATATCGATGAAAATGCAGTGATTGATAGAAGTTCCTTATCGAACATATCGATTAGACGTGATCATTTTGATATGCAAAGTTTAAGAGAAGTTAATAAGTTTATTATGATCTACACTTTGATAATTTTGAACTTATTAATGATCTTAATATAATTCGAGAGTTAAATCACTCACGACTTTTACATAAACAGATTTCTCAATAGAAGACAACTAAACGATCAGTTGATTAGAACTCTTTTAGAGAGTTAGTCACTAACCTCATGCCCGATTACCCTCCTTCTATGATGAATTAGTTAGATAAGCAGTAAAAATAAAAGATAATGTACACCACCACCACCCTAAAAAAATGATAAAATACATGTGTATATTATTTCTACGCAAATTACATTCAATCATGTCTTCATATTACATTTTCTAAATAAAATATTTGTGTTTCATTTCAGTGACATTACTGTTAGACGTATTGGTCGTCCCTGGCATACAGCTGCTGGATCTTTTATAAAACCTGTCTTAGCATTTGTTACACCGACATTACTGGTAAGTTTTAGTGTCAAGTTAACACCCAGTGCAATCGAAATGTGTATTCGTTACTCATAAACTAATTACTTATTTACTTACTTACATACGCCTGTTAATCCTTGTGGAGGGGAATAGGCCGCCCACCAGCATTCTCCATTCAATCCTCTCCTGGACAATCATTTCCGGCTCTTTCCTGTCCTTATTCATCCTTTTCATATCTACTTGTATTTCTAGACGTAATGTGTTCTTTGGCAGTCCTCTTTCCCGCTTCTCTTCAGGATTCCAATTTTACCGCTTGTTTCGTGATGCAGTTTGGTGATTTCCGCTATGCATGTCCTATCGATTTCCGTCATCTTTTCCTCATTTCCTCTTCAGTTGGAATCTGGTTTGTTCTCTCCCACAGTTGGCTGTTGCTGAATCTAGAATCTAGAAATGTTCACAATGCTTAAGAATGAGCTGAAGCATTCTAGATTGACGAATATATATTCAAAGATTTGAAGTATTATAAGGATTAATTATTGAATAAGTAACTTTTTTTAAATTAAGCCATACTACTTCCAACTTATATTCACATAAAGTGTATAGAAAACATCAGATGACTTAACAACAGATATTAGCACTTTCAGTCTCATTCTCTGATCTAGACATTTCTTTTGACGTTATGCTAGTCTGAAATATTCCATTTGCCAATGTACGTACACCTTGTCGTTTTTGCCAACTCATATATTCAACTCTATATACCTAACTAAGAATGTTTTTGAATGAAAATCTTATTTCACTCAGTACGTATTATTTGATTTGATAAGGAATTATTTTCAATCAAAAAATTATTTATTCTCACTTAGGCGGTAGGACGCAAACATTATAACTGCCCTAAATTGGATGGGATCGAGATAGAGAATGAAGGTGGAGAAGGAACGGCTGGTTCACATTTTGAGAAGCGAACAGTTGGTGTAAGTAAAGCAATTATTCATCTGTAGTAAAAGATCATTTTGTAATCTTCTCTTGGTTCTTCTCTTATAATGTTTCAGTAGCACCACTCGGTTGTTTTACAGTGAAGTAACTTTAATAGTTTAGATCGTGATTCAATTGAAGCTAGACCACTATGGAAAACCTGGAAGAACTGGATAGCCGTTTCATCATATTGTGAGACTCCTCAGCAGTGCACATCCATGATGCCGCCTCGCGAGATTCGAACCCACAACTTATCAGTCTGTAGCCTATATTGTACTGTTATTTGATTTAACGTATCACAATGAAAAGTCAGAAGATGTGGTAATATGGACAAAAGGACTTGATAACAATCCAAGATTGATGTTTCCTGAAAGTCGGTACTTGTAAGATGGAATGACATACATAATTCTGATTAAAATGTTATCTTTCTGGGATCTGTGCTGGTTTTACACCTTACTGAAAAAATGTCAATTAGCATGAAACTTAAGTCTAGATATTCTTGTCGAATGCTCTCAATCGTCAATTATCGAAACATAAAACATGAGATGTCAGGTTATTTAGATTAGGGATTACATCGTGAACTAATTCATGGAATTCGATCTATACTAAAGAGTGTTTAATTAATAAGTAAACAACATGATATGATGATTAAATTTGAATGTTTGGTAGGAAGTCAAGTTGTTTGAATGAATATTTAAAATGTACGGGAACTTAGAAAGAAGCACGATCTGGTGATGTAATTCGAATGATTAATTCTGTTCACTTTGTTTATGTTTATTACAGGATGAAACAATGGCTGGTGAGACAGGAGTGAAAAGTGTACTTTCGGCATTAACATTAGCATTCTTCACAGATTCAGGGTAAATTAATACAATTAAATATATTGTAAATGTTTCACTGGAGAATCTTGAGTATATTTATTGTGGAGCTAATCCGTGTCAGGTAGAGACAGGTATCTACTTCAGTACAATGGAAGATGGTCAGATAATTTCATGGATTGTTTGGCGTTAGACATTAACACCATTGGATGCCGTCCAGCTCAGTGGTCTACAGGTTAAGCATTTGCGCGCGAGAACGAGATCGTGAACGCACAATGTTTTGGAGTCCCACTATAGGACGAAACAGCCGTCCAACGCTTTCAGGTTTTCACTGGTAACCTAACATCAATCGGTTTATGATCTCGATCAAAAACTTAATAATCTCCACAACCCTATACTGATAATTTATTGTGTATTTCGAATCATTTCGCAAATTTGTTTTGTGGTAATATGACATTAGATGTATCAACTTTACAATTCTCACCACTTATTTGTTCAGACAGTTAAATTTGCTTAATTTCCAATCACCATCCGAGAAAGCAAATTTAGATGAGATTAGAATTTATGAACAACCTCTGAGTGATGCTAAACTGACATTGAGAGTGTTCACCTAATAACTAAGATCAAATAAGGTTTATAAAGCAGTTTGAGGAATTACAATTATGATTGACAGTTGATGGTTATCGTTAGGAATTAGATTTATGGTTTTCATCATTAGCTATTATGCCAAAACTCTATTTATCCTAATGGACGTGTGAAATTCGCGCCAAAATCTGAGACCTGTTATCTTGAATCTGATTGGTTCATCCATATATTATAGTCTTGCCATTTTATTTCATTTATTTATTGAATATATTGTTTTGATTTAAATGAAGCTGGTGGGATGTCGATTATTCAGTTGCTGCAGAATGGCATTATGGAAAGGAGTTAGGTTGTAACTTCGTCATGGGAAGCTGTTATGCATATATGGCACGAATGAAGCAAGCGTAAGATTTATTGAATTATTTCAATATATTACTCATGATTAAAACTTACTGCTAAGTTTTCTATTATTGTCATTAGTAGTAGTATTAGTTTTAATAGTATTGATAATATATTTTTCTGGTTAGCGTTTGATTAGCGAGTTAGTTTTCTATGGGATGGGGTCGCTAACCCCATGCCCAACCCTCCTTCTTTATCCGGGCTTAGGACCGGAGGGTTACAGGTGGCGTTATTGATAATAATAATATTCTTAAAATAATGCCCTTGATACCAGTAATCCCAGCTTACATATTAAATAGGTTTCAAGTGGTAACAATGTCCATTTCATTTCAGACGGAAAAGCATAGAACCTTACTGTGACGAAACGGGTTCTTTAACGTGCTATCATAAGAAGGCTTTTGGGATTTGTGCTATGGGGAAATATAAGGGTGTGTTACCACCAGAAGAACAATATTTCGAAGGTTCTCCTAATGTCGGAGGTACCAGTACATTGACAGATAGATGCCCCACTGTTCAGGTTAGAATTTTTTTATTGTTTAGTTCTAATCAAATATGCTTTACATAATTGTTCGAAAATCATGTTCAATATAGGTTGAGTGTAAATATCTATCCATCTTCGTTTTATTTATTACTTTAAATAGCAAGATAAACTCATGAGAATCATTTATTTACGTAAAAGTTTGGGATCTCGTGAGGCGGGGTTGTGAATGCTCACTGCTGAGGAGTCCCGAAATAGGACGAATCGGCCGTCCAAAGCCTCCAGGATTTCCATTGTGGTCTAGCTTCAATTTGCTCATGATCTCAACTATTGAAAAGTGTTATGTTTGTAAAAATTTGCTTCGAAAAGCTTGGACTAAATTGTTAAGCAAAACATTGAATTTTCAAAATCTAAATTCTGAGATTTTAGTAAACATAATAATGGTTGAGCAACCATTCATGGGTTGATGGAATTTAGACATTAACATTGTTGGCTACAGGCTCAGTGGTCTAGAGGGTAATCGTCTTCGTGCGAGACTGAACGTCCTGGGTTCGAATCGCGGAGCCGCACTGCTGAAGATTCACATACTAGTACGAAACGGCTATCCAATGATACCAGATTTTGAATGGTAGTCTAGTAAATATCGACTCATGAGTTTAACTATTCAAGTTTCTACAATCACAACAAATCACCTATCTGATCATAATTTTTCACTAACTCGACACCCCTATTTCAACAAAGGGTGTGGCCCACTAAGAAAAACAACATGTTTCGGTCTGGACAACCGGGCAGTATCACAGCCCACTCACAAATCAAGTGACTTGTGTGGCGTATATGTATTCGGTGCCCACTTTTCACCAATACTTATGTGTTCAAATGAATAAGTAGACAAATAAACCATTAAACAAGAAGCTATTAAGGAATTTGTTTTCAATTAGATCATCATCAGGCTTTACTATAATATACATGAATATTTATACGAGAATGTGAAACCAATCAAGGCAATATGGGTCAATAATCACAATGAAATAGAATAAGTCACCACACATAAAAGGTAAGAAATACATGTTGATAGTAGGAAGACATGTTGGAAATAGGAGGTTAAACAAACGTGGATAAATAGACTTGGAATAGTCATCACGAGACATGAAAATCATTACGATGCTAGTATGCGTGAGTTCGAAGTGAGACTAACTGTTTGGGGTGGAGAGTGACGAGAACTATTCTATCACCTGATTGGCTGACAAGCACGAGGAAGAGAGAGAAGACTAGTCAACTGGAACATTACTCGATTTATTCCCAATTCCGATGTGGATCCTGATTCATAGATTAGTGTAAAAGATAGATGACTAACCTGACCACAACGTACAATAATTAGGGAAATACAATTATGTTCAAAACTGGGGATTAGAGTAGAAAATAGAGTACACAATATTATGTTTAAATTACAATGGCTTTGAAATAGAAATGGCTATGACATTGAATCATACATCGAACGAAAGCTTATGATGTGTAGAATCGACTAGGGATAAAAATAAATGTTACTGTTTTACAAGATTTGAATTAAATGACATAACGTGCCCAAAAATAGCTTTCATAGTTTATCATAGCTTCTTGTTTCTCTATTCATATCAATCGATAATTCATGATTTACCTCATGGACAATTGTGCTTACGAACTTACTTACTGACTTACACCTGTTACTACAAATGCAGAAGACCAGCATTCTCTAACTCACTCTCTCCTGAGCCTTCCTTCCCATGTTCTTATGAATTAGCATACATATTCCACATAGATGATCTTTGTATACTCAAAATGTTATTTTCAATTAGTTTTAAGTAAATAATCCACTTAGTAATTTTGTACAGTCATTTATTTGGTTTACAATGATCCTTCTTTAAATGCAGCCAATGGAGACATTTTTCAAAGAACCTTTTATGACCTACTGTGATCATCGTTTAAATATTCCATTTGGTAAGTTCGCAAAAGTTTACAATAGTTGTATATTAAAATACATGAGCCTTAACTCAGTCAGTCAATAAGTCACAAGGTAGAACTTCGTACGTACGTACATCAGTTCAAGTTGGTATACCACATTAGCACATAGATACAATTGTTGATTCAAATCCCATAGTAGTAGAGCTAGTAAATGTTTAAGCAGTAATCGGAAAGATTAAGGTTTGAAAGTGTTATTCAAGGAGTATAATTCAGTGAAATAAATTTGGAAGAAGAAGAAAAATGGGGACATGAAGAATTCAGAAGATTAGAATTTGAGAGAACACAAAGAGCGGATGGACCTGAACCATGGCAAACCATTTTGAGCCATATCATTCAAGGTCTCTAACCATCGCTTGCTATCGTCTCGCGGATCCCGAGAATCAGGTAGTCTACACCTACCAACATGGTTCAGTCCACTTGTCATTGACTTGTTGGAGTTGTGCTATATTTTGGTCTGGCCGACCCTAGCTTTCTTCCAACCTATTTCTACACCATAGAACATCGCCCATCGTGGCAGTCGGTGGTTGGGCATACGTAACACATGTCCTATCCGTCTATTTAAGTCTTAACTGGAAACTCTCCTGTTTGTTGTTAGTTTACAAAACTATTCAGCTCATCCCAACAGATCTAATAAAATTCAAATCAATGTATGTTGTGCATGAAGTGTATATAAGCTAACAACCATATAATCGATGATATAGGGAAAATGCTATATGATATTTTAACTGTGCTTGTAATGAATGAGAACACAAGTGAGGACAATTGAATATATTTGAACCCAAAATTACAGTACATCTTAGTAAAATCTGAGGATCATACAGTAATTACTTCATTTGCAAAATGTCAATCAATTGTTTCAGAGTTGGTTGTTCCTTCTGCAAATATCAGTCAAAGGTCTCACACTTCATTGTTCCTGCATTTCTATACCGATTGCTTTGTGTGCCCGTTCTTTCCTCCTTGATCTTCTTGACTTTCTGCTGCCAGACATTATATTCTTGACTAGCGTTATATACTATTTATGTCGATATAAGTATCACATATTACATACTTTAAACTAATATAAAAATATATAGTGAATGAGAATACAGGCTGGGACAACTAAATGTAATTTAGTACAACATTTCAGAACATCTTATTTAAGTCTGAGAACCATACAATAAATGCTTTAATTGCACAATACACAACAATTGTCTCAGACTTTGTTGTCCCTTCAATTCCATAACAATTATTCTTTTTGTCTTGTTCTCTTTTTTCTATTTCATCAACCTTTTGGTACCAGACATTCCACTTTCGATTGATGATACATAATATCTCTATCTGTTGATATCAGTAGTACACACCACAACTGAAATATTTTTGTCTTCATAATTAAAACTGTTAGTTGAATTTAAGCGAATTACATAAGAAACGAATATAAGTTAAATAAAGGCTGTATGAAAAATAAATAAAACGAAAGGGGACATTTTCAAAATCGATGAACTGAAATAGTTACGTTAATAACAATGACAATAATAATAATAATAATAATAATAATAATAATAATAATAATAATAATAGTTTGTTGTCACGATAACGCAAAGTATAAAATATAATACTTTACCACTCAAGTTTGGGTTTAATGTCAGGGATAGCTAGAGTTTCAGATGCCTTGGATATTTTTAGACAATAAAGTTTTGATACATTTGATTGGATCTTACAACACTCACTAGCATTTATTGGCTATGTCCTTTTTTATGAGATGAGGTAGTTAATCTACTCACCACCCTCGCCTTTACCGAGGCTTCAGGCTGCTAGTAACTCTATCGGCATTTTGAGTAGATTCTATGAACAGTGTGCGTCACTTGACTTATTGAATGTTCATGATCTTTCTTGGTCTCTTCACAGTTATGTAGGGACAGTTTTAATAAACATATGCAGAAATATAATCATTGATAAAACATGAATACCTTCTTTACAATAAATGAATTTCAAAATTCATCTACATTTCAAAGTCTAAGGACTGTGATACCTAACGAAAAGTTTTACGAAATTAATATCTGATGTTTTCGGTGGTTGATTTGAATCGAATTTACTAATCATTAATTACGATGGAGTACAATTTTATACCACTTTTAGTTTCAATTATCATACATTTGTTCATTATTCACAAATAATCCTGTTAATAGGAAATAGAAATCCCTAAACATAAGGAAACAGACAATAGATATTGATCTCTTCTGACACATGATTTCTGAACATGTATTTCATGTCTCAGAGTTCTAGTGAGAAGCAGTGATCAGTGGAGTTTAACCGGGTCTGTTGTGAGGTAAAAACTCATTGAAGACAATGGTAGATGGCGGCTTAATTTCGTGAATTAGTTGAAGTTAGTCAATAATACCGTTGGATGCCAACCAGCTTAATGGTCTAGAGGTTAAGCGTTCGTACGCGAGACTGATAGATCGTGGGCTGGAATCTCACTAGGCGGGATCGTGGATGCATACTGCTGAAAAGTCCCATACTTCCAGGTTTCCCATAGTGGTTTAGTTTCAGTTAACTCATGATCTCCACTATTAAAATTACCATAATATCTACAAAACTCTTTCTGATACATTACACTCAATTGAAATTGTTAATAATAAAAACGATTATTTATTTTGTGTTTATGTTAGCACAAAGAGGAAATATGTTTGGTCAAGCTTTTGGGAATAAATCGATATGCATTCCACATATGGGAGCTTGGAGAGCTGAAATGAATGGAAAATTAACACAAGATCCTCGAGTTAAAGCAACTTGTCATGATGTAATTTTTTTTTAAAAACTATTATATGTGATTCCATAAAGATTCATCTAAAATCCAAATTAAATATATGAACTACATTCTCTGACTAAATTGAATTGATATACTCTAATACAGTTTTAGAATAATAAGTAAGAAACGTATAGATTATGATTAAGTGGACAATCTCATTACTTACTTCACTCTTTGATTTGTTTTACAGTATAAGCAATACATTCAGTCAGTCTTCATTATTTGTTGCCTCCTTGAAACAGTTAATTACTTACGCCTGTTACTCCTCGTGAAGGAGAATAGGCCGCTCCCCAGCATTCTCCATCCAACCCTGTCCTTGAAACAGTATCTGTGTTTAAAAAAAAAAGAAAATAAAAAATATAAAAGTTACTGACTGACACATTAATAGCAAGTGGTTATCCATTAAAGTCTATTAATATGTACAAAAGTTAGTTCATACTAAAACCTCTTATTTATTCAGTTCCAAAGAAGAAAATTTTATGTCCATCTATCATATAGAGGTGAATCGATTACTATAGTTTTAAAACAGGGATTGAAAGCAGTCATCGAGAAAAACCTATTATACTGCTCAATTGGTTGTGATGATTCCAAATAGACCTAGGCAATGCACAAATGATTATGTCATATCCCATTTTATTTGACGATTCACATGTTTATGTAGACACACATAGAGAGAGGGGAGTAATCGAACAATGTAATCAAGGATCATTGAATATGTGCCTAACTGACGAGTTCCAAATTGGACGAAACACATGTCTTGTATTCTATTGCTAGCTACTAGCCATCCTTGCTTAAAATGCTTGTGTTTTAAGGCTTTATGAAAGCAGTCTGCACAGGATGCATATATGCCAACAAGAGATTGATAATCAATTGCAGACTATAACAACAATAGGAAGATACAAGTAAAACAACACCAAGTGATTTGTAATTAGATTATTCTGTCTGTCACACACACCTCTTGTTGACCATATTTATTCTGATCATTATTTATCTTACAATTTCATTTCACTTATTAACTGATTCAAGTTAACAACTTCATATTAGCTACCCAAACAATCCTTAATTCACCTATTACAATTTTAAATGATGCACTCTGTCTTCAACCTGACCAATTTTATGGATAATTAATTGGGATATGAGATAATTGTGAAGTATCTGATGTGAAATTGATATTAATTGTGTTTTGCATATGATGGAAATTTCTTCAGAGATTATAAAACTTTATTAATGATTATCTTCCTATCTCATCTATTCATGATATTTATTTATTTGGACACAGATATTGGTACGAGGAGGCACCAAATACATATGCGCCCCATAAATCTCATCTGATTTGTGTGAGGAACGGGATACTACCCGGGTGCCCAAACCGAAACAGGTGGTTTTCTTATGAAGATACACCAGGAGCCTTCGACCTAAAGGTCTGATCCACAAGGCAGTGGAGCATCGTAAGGAGATGCAGTCCCATGGTAGCCGGTGGCTAACGATTGGTTTCTACGCCATTTGTTCCCTCGAGATACTGGAGCCCATATGAAACATTGGTTTGAAATCAGGGTCTTCCAACTCCCCTAGGTGGACTCTCCATGTCCACTTACCCGGTTAAAGCGCCGGACATTCGGTTTTGTCCTCTCTTAACACCTACGTCACGAAAAGGCAGTGAGTAGGACTTTCCTGGCAGAGGCTATATACGCGTGGCCATGTGAGAGCATTTCGAAATGGAGAGCGGTATCGCCCCACTCTCGGTCATACCAGGGCATTCGGGGCATCAATTTATGAACATGATTAGAATTAGTAATTAGTTTTGAAAAAATCGATTAAAATTAACTGGATATCCATGGCGAACGTCTTCAACAGTAGCACTGTATTATTGATTTCATGTGTGTGCGCATGATGACTAGATGCTAGATGACTTCAAAACCAATTAGTGTCAAGTGATCCGAATATCATTAAACGCACGGCCGTCTTTGTATTTTTTTTCATCCTTTATGAAAAAATTTTCCATCCGATTTTCCAAGATTTTTCATTCTGTTTCATCCAATTAAATGGCTAGTTTTAAATTCGTTATAATTGGTCATTTATTTCTTAAAATTGATATAAAATGTCAATATTTGTCGACAGAGCATATTTTCTTCAAATTATGAACCATAGTAAATTATGAAGTACAATCTGAGAACTTGTGAAAGGACTTCCATGAACACTCAATGTCCGGCCTTTATTTTTGTAAGTTTATTGAAGGCTACTGGACTGTTGTTCGTGTTAAAGTTCATCACAATTACAAGTGCACTTCCTGGGGGTACGACAGTAATTCTTGGATGCACAGGTTAATGGGGACGGAATTTGAAACAGTTGGGACAGCAGCATTCAATATATTTTCATTTTGTTTACCAATCTTATGGAAAGCGTCTGGTCAAATGCTTTTCGACCTGCAGCGACGCTCCTGAAACAGAGTTATACAAACTTTGTTGAGACATCTCATTGACTTCTGAGGCTGTATACACTGAATAGAAAAACATCTGTATTGAGATCTATATTTAGTATACTTCTTCGCATTGGATGCTGGATGAAAGTGCGAGTCCAGAAATACTCATCTGATTGTCGTAACAAAATAATTATCGGTTGGGAGACACAAATAAGTCGTCTTCAGGAGAGACTTACACCAGCTGCATGTCAACTGCTGGTGGACTTGTTCAGGGTTGTTGACGCTACAGACCTAAACAATGCACAAGCGATTACGTCACATCCCAATGTATTTACATTTTTACATATTTGTGTGGACATATAAATAGGGGGGAGTATTCGAACAATGCAGTCATTCAAAATGTGCCTATATGGCTTCAAAACCAATTAGTGTCAAATTATCCGATCAAGGTGGGAGGTAGAAAACCATGTTCATCGATAGTGAAACATATAATTGAAACGGGGCACAAAACTGACAATAATACAGCTTTTAAAACGTCGTATAGAAATTGTCAGGGACGAATTCTCAAGTTTATTGAAGTCTTGGCTATTCGTAAATTTACCCCCCCCCATATATTTACAAAGACAATTTGTCGTAACCACGAATTTACCGTGGTAATCCTTAAGTCATTCTATTGCCTATTTATGACCAGATTGTTCAAAATGTATAGCGCAAATACGTCACATTTTCATCAGATCAACTCCGTCTTCTCATTGTTCTATCAAAATTTATAAAATGAACTGATTGCTATAAAAATGGACATTAGTCACATTACATCACCATATTATAAAATTGATTATTAACTAGTTGACCAGGGTAAAAGGAGCAGTGGAACATTTATTTTTGGATACAAAATTCCGGCTTTTTGATTCTAATAGCCATTACTTCAGCCTTCTGTAAGATTCTCAATGTGACGGAATTAGGTAGACTGCTGTTAACACAATATATGATAGTGAATGATTGCTTCATGTTGGCTGTATGTGTCGTCTGGATTAAATGGGCTAAAATGAAGCTGTTAACTGTTTTAACTACATCTTTGCTTAACCGCACTGGAATTTGCTCACGGGCCCGAATATACAAATTCCTAGAACATCTGTCAATATAATTTACTTCACAGGAGCAGTTGAGTTGATAGATACAGAAAGAAGTGGTTAGCCTAGGCAATTTATCTTTCAATCTCGGAGTGATTATTGAGCATATGGAAAACACTAGTTGTAGTTTGCCTGTATTAAAAAGTTCTCTGAATTGATCTAACCAAGCATTTCTTGAATAGGAGTTTTATATTGTTTTGGTAATCTGAGATTAAGTATTATAACAATATAATATAAATTCTTCTGTTATGTAGATTCTCTTCAAATCCTTACAATCTAGAAATTAGTGATGGTGGTTATAAGTAATAGTCACTGTTTCACTAAACAATTCATTACTATTATAGACATTAACATGAATGCTGGATACATTCGTTCTCATAAGAATAGCTTTAAATCTAAAGTGATTAGATGCATTTGATTCTTTACTCTAGAAGTCGTTCGATTTGAGTCATGTCAAAGACCGATACTGAACAAGCATATAGACAGATGAAGTGGATTATAGAATATTACTTATATATATAATCTGCTTTCTGCAATATTGATTTTCATATTTTTCAGTACATGTGTTCACGTACTGTACAAATCATCGTTGATGGTCAAGCGTTTCCATGTATTTCTGGTGTAGCACAAATACAAACTGGGCGAATTCAAGGAAATGCGATCTGCCCTGATATGAATGATGTTTGCAGAGTAAGAATATTATTATTATGAACTTAAGTTGGGGTCGATTTTTACCCTGTGCTAATTGTTGTGTCCTTGACTGGAAAATTAGAGAGCAGCGTACTTATCGATCGATTACAGTGACACGTAAACACTTACGGACGGTCTAGAGTCTCTATTGGCTTCGCTTCCCTGTCTAGCTCAGTCAGTTGATTCCAGAACACAAGTCACAGCCTCGGAGATATGAATCATCATCATTCAAGCATACCACATCATACCATAAAATAGAAAACAACATTTTGTACAATATCCAACAAGTGAGCAGATATCGACCAATAGGAAATGTCCATTTAAAGTCCAAGGACACTATTGGACTTAACATGATAATTATTGGTCTGTTCCTCAGCATCCACAACAAGTATATATTGAAAATGATTATACTGATGATATATTATTCCATTTTCTGACATTTCGTCTCTCTCTCTTTATGTATATATATATATATATATATATATATATATATATATATATATATATATATATATATTCAAATCATTTACTATGTTCACTAGTCTTAACGGTCGTGTTATTTGTGGGGTTAGATTTTTAAACTAACATCTAAGTTTCTCTATCTGACGAGTTCGAAATTGGGTGAAACGCGTGTTTGGAATTCCGCTAGTAAATAAAATATGTTATTTTAGAACTTTATCTACAGTAGAGAGTTGTGGAGATTGTTGAATCTCATTGAAATCATCAAACAATCAATGTTGAAATTAGATGTTAACACAATCGGATTAGGACTCAGTGGTCTAGAGGTCAAGTATTCTTCAGTAACCGAAGATCCTATGTTCCGAGTACCGTGTGCGAGATTTTGAACGTGCAATGATCAGTAGTTACATGCTAGCACGAAATAGAAGTCCACTTCTCCCAACATTTCAATGGTAAACTAACGTTGATTCGTTGATAGGTTCAATGGATAGAACTTTCTGACAGAATAATAAGATTGAGACGATTTGTACAGAATGCAGACAAATTAACAAGATTAAATGATGGTCAATTTCTGTGGACTGTTAATGGACTAATATTGCATATATATATATATATATATATATATATATATATATATATATATATATATATATATATATATATATATATATATATTGCATAACAATTCAGTAACTAGATTATGTATATCTATATTTCCCTTATTGTAAGCTTCATTTTGACTTATAGATTATTATGATACAATTTACTGTTTTTAAGTTATGTTCAGTTTATTAATTACAGTCTGCCACTTTCACAGCCACGTTTTAGCTCCATCTCGTACAAATGTTATTTCTTATTTTACGGTGTGATATGGTCTGTTTGGCTGGTATATCAACCCAGTACGTTTGAAATAAATTATTAGTATAATGGAAGCTGGTATTGGTGTCCTCTGGAATCGACTGATCAGGTTAAGAGGAAATAGAATTAATAAAGATGCTAGACTGCTCCATACTGGTCGAACGTCGAATATCAGCCTTACAGTGACAATAAAGGATCTTACTAATTTTTTATAGAATAACTGATCCATTCAATAAACTTTTAAATGAGCAATCTCATTACTTATCTCTTTAATTTACTTTACAATTTAGGCATACCGAAAATGAACAATCCGACAACTCTTCTATTATGAACCAATACCTATAGATATCTAATACATTTTAATTACTTTCATTAATAATTATGTTTAATGAATTAGTTCATTCATTAACTCTATTCAATGTTTATGTATGTATCATTACCAATAAATAAATATATATATGTTATAATGAATAACTTTTGATGACTTCCAAAAGAAAAACGAAACATTTGAACAGAATAATGTTAATGTTATTAATATTAGTAATAATAGGAAACATATTGAGGAAAGCACCCAATTGCATTAAAAGGCAAGCCCTCATTTGGGATCCTTAAGGTCAAAGAAGAAGATGATTATGAAAGAATACATTACATCGAGAAATGGAAACAGAATTGGGTAGAAGTAGATAGGAAGGCTCGGTGAAAAAGTGAGTTGGAGAGTGCTGGTCGGTGGCCTATGATCTATTGGGAGTAAGAAGCGTAAGTAATAATTATGAATAAAAGTACCGAGATTTGATTAGATAAATTCAAGTGAATTTAATCACATGACAATAGAATTTTAGTGGATTGGCTTCGTTTACCAATCATCTTGATGACCGTTATTAAATAAATCTAAACGTTGTATGAATTCTGAAGATAACAATAAGCGGTGATTACAGTTTATTAACGGATAGTACAGATAATAAAATTACAAACATATCGAGGTAAAGAGGAACAAAGAGAATAATTGGTTTTAGCGAGTGAATATAGAGGTGAATAGAATTGAAACAAGGAGAAGTTAAGCTAAGACAATTAATGAGATTCAAGCATACGTGTTTACGCAGACATGATGATAATCGTAATGATACTGTAACGTTTGTTTTACATTGTCCTAACACGCTTCTCTTCAACTCTTTTGCTTATCACTTCATACTACTTAATAATGTATTCAGTAAACTGTTGTATTCCCAGCAATTTCCAGGCTTATGTTGTAACTCAAGTTTGTCGTTTATTATTCTGAAATATTTACACATACTTATAACGTTTATTGTATCTATTATTGTATTACTCATTATAATTACTTTATCTCAATAATTGTAGCAGTTATCCACAGTTCTGTGCATTTGTTTAACCTTTTTTTAAACACAACAGTTTCCATATTGTTTTACTCTTGGTTGGGATTTTGCTTGTTGATAAACTGTTACCATGTATAGACACAGCTTTCAACTATCGTTTGCACTATCGAAGCGCCTTTCTATTTCATACAAAAGGTTGCGTTAAACGACTCACACACCTCGCAAGTTGAGGTTTGTAACTAATGTTTGTGTGTTATTCAATAAAGCACCTCGATTTTTGAAAAATAAATCATTGTTTTGCGTACTTCGGTTTTGCGTGTATCTCACTTGGATGACGTGGACGCTTCGATAGACCCAAAAGATACAAAGGAATCGACTAAATGTTACTGTTCGAATAACACTGTCTGTTAGTTAAACCAACTGAAGTGCTTGTCAAAAATTACTTGTAAGCAAAATTAATTGTCGGGGGGTTGTTATACCATGATCAAACTTGATTGCATACATTGAATAACAGATCAGATATGTTCTCAGTAACATTTAAAATTGTCCTAATTTAAATCAAAAGAGAAATAGCATATCAAAGAATATTATTCCATCTAATGAAGCTTTCATCATGCCTTGTTCTAACATACAGTCATATTTATATACATATAAACGAAAGATAAACTAGCTAGGGCAACTCATGAGTCAATATTGCACGATTTACAAAGGATCACAGAAGCCTATACGTATTTTTGTTTTATTACACTTGATTGATGCTGACATTGTGGTGAATACAATTTAATCATTCTGAGTGATCTAATTCAGTTACTCACAGTTACCTAACACTGTCCGATGTCGTCTGTTATCAATTATATTTTATAGAGGTTCGAGCCACCTCCTTCCACCTGAATTGTATGCCGATGATATTATTTAGAAGAACGATGAAAGCTCAATGACGAAACCATCTAGATCACAGAACAAAACTCCGTCTAAATTATTTTTCACACACTTCTGAATATATGGTTTTCATGCTCTATTATGTCGACTTTCCTAGATGTTGATGTACATCGTATGTCGAAATATTTGTTCAAACCATAACTGTGAGGACTACAGAATTGTTAATACTTGTGACTTCAAATTAGATCGATCGGACCAAAGACACGTAAGACATGTGAGAACAGCCTAGAGTCCTGATTGGTTCTACTTCCCTGTCTAGCCCAGCCAGTTGAGTCCAGAACGCAAGTCTCAGCCTCTGAGATATAATTCATTATACTTCAAACATACTCTGTTTATATACAAATCAAGCGCAACACATTATACCATAAAATAGAAAATAACATTTGACACGTGAAATAAGTATTGACCAGTAGGAAAATGATACCATTTCAAGTCCAAGAAAAGCATTAGACCTAATAGAATAATTTTTGGGATATTTTCCTGAAGGACGTCGTAGACGCCAAACTTCAAGATCAACACACTGGATTCTGTAAGGATCGATAGAAACGGATCATTATGGAACCATCAATTGAATGAAATTCATCACTCTACATCAACTTCATTGACTACGAGAAAGCATTTGATAGATTGAACAGGACAACACTATGTAGGCTTGTTTTTCAATATCATACGGAATTAAACTGCAAAATCGTGCATAGAGGACAGTTACAAGCAGTCATTCTTAGTGGGTCTAGAGTGAATATCAATAACAGGAAAGGAAATCACATATTTGGTAGTCAATAAGTTGAATGCCTGTTTGTTCACACAGTGATCAATCACATTTGCAATCACCATCACACATTATACGGTAAAGCCTGGTAAAGAACCATCCAAATTTAACAAAGATAATTGGTAATTTGAAAAGCATATACCAATTCCTTGAGAAGTGACTACCTTCAGTCACTATCTTATCTCAACGTAGTGTACGCAATGTTGAGTCATCTAGACTGGTAGCCACATTGCAACTTAGTCGATAGAATCCATTCTGCACTAAGACGGACCTGACATGCATGACAGTGATCACCACCGAGTGATCTTTTCTGTTTCAAAAATATGTGCTTTGGTACGTACATGCATACTCGAAGAGAATTATGGGTAACATGATGAATTAACAAGAAGTCGACAGTCTCAATTAGCTATCCATTTGATATAGATTACCTTATTTGGCCTCATTTTGTGTCTGAATTAAATGAACCCGTTTACCTCATGACTTTTAAGGCCAATTCTTAAGAAGACAATCCTTTATTCAACTGTAGTGTCCTTCATTTCCTTCATTCTAATCTTATCATACTGACTGCTGAATTTTTGCGGATTTATTGATATTGAAACCGAGATCATATATAAGACTCATGAAACGCGATACATTTTGGATGTGTAAGGGAACATAATGAGTGGTAGAATTATGTTTAAATACTAATTTAATGTGAGTGATTTTCGACATCATGACAAAACAAGAGATTCTTCCAGTTATTCCAACAAAGATATGAATCTTGTAAGTAGGTCAGTCATGCATTGAAGGCATATGCATTTAATAGGGTTATTCTATGGAAAACTGTGATCAACTGAGAACAAAGTGACCTCACTATTCAACTATTTTCTTCATTCACATTATACTACTTTATAAATATTCAGTAACTAATTTTATTTTCCATCATTTTCAAATCTTTCGTAGTTCTATGATACCAAAAGGTGGACTTCCGTGAATTATCATTTAATTCTAATTCTGTATCTGGAACTTCTAATTTTTAGACATTTACTGACCATTCACATAACTGCTACAGCTCACGTTAATTGTGTTCTTATTCTCTATCTTAATTATTGTCTTCTGATATGATTCCACATACAGCTATTGAAGTTTAAGTAATCTCTCCATAACTATTGCATAATACGTTCTCCTCTTATTTATTCATTAGCAACAACCACATCGTAGAGACCTTACGAATTGAGATTTGCTTTTATTTTGAATATATCGTCTCGACAGTGCCGTACCCGGAACAAAATATCTCATTTTGATTCTAAAATATTAAAGGTCCTAACTGTGAAAATTAGACATACATACATACATACATACATACATACATACATACATACATACATACATACATACATACATACATACATACATACATACATACATACATACATACATACATACATACATACATACATACATACATACATACATACATACATACATACATACATACATAAGAGGACAATATTGTTTTGAATTAGACCATCAAACTATACTCCAGTATATAGGAATATTTATAGTGTATATGAAAATCTGAAACTGATCAAGGTAACTTGTGGGTCACTGATCACAATGATATAGATTGCATAACTACAAATAATAGGTATTAAGAATAGATAGTAAGAAGGTAAGCGTGCTAGTAGTGGAAAGAATGAAAAAATAATGGAAATTCCAATTAGTAGTTCAATTTTTAGACTACATGATAAGAAGTGTGTAAATAGGGAGATGGTGATGAATGTAAAAGGAAGGAGTTGAAGTGTGACAAACAAATACAGGATGTGGAAAAATCGGTAAAATCGTTTATAAGGACATATTTGGCTAATGAACAGAAAGGATTGTCAATAGTTTATGCTATGTATAGATAAGGTCAAACCAGATTAAGAAAGGTGGAAGATATACAACAGATTACTTAAAATGATTGGGTTTGGTTTGTTATTAGAAGCACGATCAGACAAGTATGTCAAGATAGAACTACAGATCGTTCTCATTAATTCTTTTCCAAACCAATTTAGATGTTCCTTCATTTGTCGATAAATTCGTCTGGTAGTCCCTCTAAAAAAAGCTATCTGAGCAGTAGAAACCAAATTTATAGGTGCACACCAAAGAGGGAAACTCAGGTACCTCACCCTTTGTTTGAATGGATATCACTTGTCAACTAGAAAATACCGACGTAAAATAAGGTGCGTAAGATTTTATTTCAACTGCTTTCGCTCACCTATGGCTAGAGCACATTGTTTGCATG